GTGACATCGATTACATTCTTCCAGTTTGTGCTGCTATTCTCACTTTAGATGAAGGTTTACAGAACAAAATAGTTTCTCATTAAACAGTACACATGTTGCCCTATGACAATGGTTAACAACTCCACTGCATGTCAACACTGTCTTTATTCAACCTTAGGTTCCCTATCACCAGCTTTCCTGTCCCCTTCTGCTTTCTAGTCCTTGTCCCTGGACTGCTGTGCCTCATTAGTCCCGTTTTGTTTTATGGGGCTGTCCAATCCCCAGCTGAAAGGTGAACCTCGGAAGTGACTTCACCACTGAGCTAAAACGGTGTCTGGGGACCATACTCTTGGGGTTTCTCCAGTCTCTTTCAGGCCAGTAAATCTGGTCTTTTTTGTGTGTGTTAGAATTTTGTTCTACATCCTTCTCTAGCTCTGTCCAGAACCCTCTGTTGTGATCCCGGTCAGAACAGTCAGTGGTGGTAGCCGGGCACCATCTGGATGTACTGGACTTGGTCTGGTGGAGGCCTTGGTAGCTGTAGTCCATTAGTCCTTTGGACTAATCTTTTCCTGGTATCCTGTTCTATTCATTCTCCCTTGCTCCCAAAGGGGTGAGACCAGTGGAGTATCTTCGATGGCTGCTCACAGGCTATACAGTTTTATTCATAGAGGTATTTTGAATTAGCAAAAATTGGAAACAACGAAAATACCAATCAGCAGGAAATTGAGTGGGCAGGGGCCATCGGCACCGTAGCCAAGCAGATTCTTCGGCATTAGAAAGAATGGCCCCCGGACACCCTTTTAACTCTATACTGAAGTCACTCCCCAGGTTCGCCCTACGGCCAAAGATTAGACAGGTCTATAGGGCAAACTTCTACTCTGTCCTAAAGGGTTGCTATGAGTCGGAATTGACTCGACGGCAACGGACTTTATAGGGTAAAAAATAACACAAGTGAGGAATGTGCATCATAGTTCAATCATGTAGATGAGACTAAATGGGCACACCAGCCCAAAAGCAAAGGCAAGAAGGCAGGAAGGGACAGGAACACTGCATGAATGGCAACAGGGAGCCCAGGGTGGAGAAGGGGGGAGTGCTGACGCATGGCGGGGGCTGGCAAACAATATCGCAAAACAATTTATGAGAAACTAATTTGCTCTGTAAACTTTCACCTAAAGCATAATTAAAAAAAAAAGAAAAGAACGAGGAAGAGAGTATTTCTTACACAATGGTTTCCAAAGACAATGCTGTGCGTCAGCTGGCTGCTACCAGTTGCTCTTGAGTCAGTTCTGACTCATGGTGACCGCATGTGTGTGTCAGAGTAGAACTGTGCTCCGTAGGGTTTTTGATGGCTGATTTTTCAGAAGTAGATCGCCAGGCTTTTCTTCCCAGGCACCTCTGGGTGGACTTGAACCTCCCAGCTTTCCAGTAGCCGCCAAGTGCGTTCACCGTTTACACCACGCAGGGACACCCATAGGCTACTACCCCTTTAGGAGAAAGAAACGCTGGAAGGATGAAACCGAAACTAATAAAAACGGTTTCTCAGAGGCCTAGAGGTGGCGGTGATGGGAATCGGGGGGCTCTGGGGGGGAAAGAGAATAAAAATAAAGTGATGGGGGTAATAAAAGCAAACAAACGGAAACATGGCCGTGGGAGTTTGCCAGGCTTGGCCATTATCTCCTGCGGCCCAGCACGAGAGCTGGGGAGGACAAGCATATTCAGCTGCGGGCCTCAGGTTATGGATGACTGGCTTTGTGCCGTAGACGTAGACCGGGGCTAAGGATTTCTGGCACTCCGGCCCTCTCCAGGGAGACCGCCTCTCCCCAGAGGCTGTAAGGAAGGGAGGAAGGAGAAAACTCTTCCCTGCCTCGAATGTAAAAATACATAGAAACCTCTGAGAGATGGAACTGGATGGGGCTGCCTTGGCTTTCCGGGTCTCGCAAGTCCTCCGCCTTTGACAGGATGCAGTTTTACCACTTTCCTGTCGCTTGTTTTGGTGGCAACTGTTTTGAGTTTTCCTTCTCTGACAGGTTTCTGCCTTGCACAGGCTCCGGCTTTTGCACGTTTTACTGTATGTAAAAATATAACCCCCCCCCCCACATCTGTTGCAAGGAGAAAGAGACTGGACGCAATCCCAGATAGTAAAGGGGACAGGGCTGAATGGAGGATTGGGGCTCCGCAGGCAGCCCTGCAGAGGTGGCACAGAGACAGCCTCTGGCTGCTGTTCGTCAGCAGCGGCTGGGTCCACAGAGACGAGGCTGTTGCCTTCAGAAGGCAGGAGGCCGGCCAGCCTTGCCATTGAAGTCCTGTCGTACCCTCTTGCCTCCAGTCCCAGAGAGGTGCCCAGAAGATATACTGGGACCTTGTCAGACTCCGAGCACGGGGAGGTTTTTGGACAAATGTATTTTCTTCGATTAGGGAAAAAACAAAACAACTCCAAAGTGATCTATCTGTCGTAGGAAAACTATTTACATTTTCAGATTAAAAAAAAACAGAAAGCAAGTACAGATCATCCAAAAAGGGGTATGGGGTGAGGGGGGGGAGCTGTGTGCACAGGGAGTTCACAGAAAGTTAGCCCTCAGTTTTAAGTTGCTCTTAAAGCTGCTCAGGATGCGTGTTTCTTCAACGCGGCCACGGGGAGAATTACTTTCAGTTCAGGAAGTGAGACGTCAGCTCGTCTGTCCAGATGGTGGAAATCAGAACGGACTCTTTGGGAGAAGGAGGCTCTGAAAAATATCTAGAAGCTGAGTTTGGTATGTAGAAATGAACTGTCGGCAGATGTGGCTTTTAAGCCAATGCAGGTGTGTGATGTGTGACTAGCCACTGGTATTGGGGACATGTAGGCAGGCCAGCCTGTGGGCAGGGTTCCAGAGAAGAGCGAGGTGAGGGGAGTGCAGGCAGGGGGAGAGACTGAGAGGCTTTGAGACCAGTTCCCATTGCTGGGCTGAGGCTCAGGGCCCCCGAAAGTTCCCGCCACCCCCAGCTTCTGACAGTCCTCTTCAGCCTGGCTTCTGTTGGCCTGTGGCCCTGGTGACCTTGGAGACACTGGTGGTGTCCTGCCAGTATGCCATGTAGATGTCTTTCCTCTGCGCATTCTCTCTCCCTCCCTCCCTGCTGTTTCTTTCTCCCTGACCTTTCGCTTCTAAGTGACACCTAATGGTATTGATTTTCTTCCTTCTGACCCTCGTAAACAAATAGAGTGTTTCTTTTTGGTTTCAGCTTGTAAGATGGGATATTATCTTAGAGTTTTGTTTTAAGTTCTTGCTGTTGACTCCAGGAAGCTTTAAAGAAAGGGTTCTGAGTCTGTAGGTACATGCTTTGGAAGGCACTGGATTTTCCTGATCGGTGGCAATACGGGTGTCTGGTGGGACACAGGCGTGTCAGTCTGGAACAGGTTGAGTTCTAGAAGGACTCTTCTGGCGACACATGGAGTTTGGGCATGCCCAGTGAGGAGGAAGAGTCTCCTTCACTGTATGGGATCTCGGTTTCTCAGGTGAGCTGATGTGGGCAACCTCAGGGTGAGGTGGCAGAAGAAATGGAGCAAACGGAAGCCAGGGCTTATCTGGAAACGGCATCAGAGCCACGTCACGGTGGCAGTGAGCCGGCGGTGCTCTGCGAAGCTAGGGTAGAACCTGAGCAGAGGAACACTCTGCCTGGGAGGCAGGGGTCGACCTTCCGGGTACTGCAGACCCTGGCTTCCAAGTCCCTACCCGGCAACAGGGTGCCTGCATGTAACTAGTAACTGCCAACAAACTCACAGGAAACTCGGGTACCAAGGCTGCAGTGCTGATGTCTAGCCAACACCCATTCGTCCCACCTCTTCCTCACAGAACCCCTTAAGTACAGGAAGTGAGGCGCCAGCTACCCCTCACAGCCATGTGTTCAGGGGATGCCAGCCCTAGCCTCAGGCCCTGAGGGAGTCCAGATGAGTGTCAACCAATCAAGGGGGGGGGGTCCCATCTTCTTGCCAATGATTGGCTGAGGCATGAGCACATGATATAGTTCTGGCCAATTGGGACATGAAGAGGGTTGTGGGTGGGGCATCGGAAAAGTTTCCTCATTCCTACAGACACAGGCGAGAAGTGGCTCTCTTTCTGCTTCTAGGTGTGATGGCTGAATTCCTGCAGCTGTCTTGCAGCCACGAGGAGAGAGTGTTGTTCAGTCGAGTCGATTCTGACTCATAGCGACCCTACAGGACAGAGTAGAACTGCCCCATAGGGTTTCCTAGGCTGTCATCTTCACGGGAACAGATCGCCAGGTCTTTTCTCCCATGGAGCAGCTGGTGGGTTCCAGCCGCCCACCTTTTGCTTAGAAGCCAAGTGCTTACCACTGCACCACCAGGGCTGGCTATGAGTTGGAACTGACTCACTGGCAAAGGGTTTGGCTTGGTGGTTTTGGAAGGAAATCCCTGACACTTGGGGAAATGGAATAAACAATTGTCAAATCATAAAATAAAGAAAGCATTGACAAAAAAAAGAAAAATAATTTAAGGAAAAAAATCATGGACAACAATGATAAAAATAATTTAAAAGAAAGAAGCACTGATGTTTGGATGTAACAGACAGAGAGCAGAACTTCCTACCGTGTGTATTATCAGCAAAGAAGCAAAAGCAGTTACAGTAACAGGGAAGGAGATGGGTCATGAGAAATTTCTAGCAAGAGATGATGGGAGTAAATTACCTGTGTCCTCCCTGTGATGACGAGCTCGAGGGGTTTGAATGCCACTGCTTCCTTTAGCTCTGTGTTGCTTCAGTTTTATTTCAGCAAATAAAAACGTACCATTTACAACTTTCAGAGCTTCTCTATTACATACCCCCCAATCCGTTTTCTCGAGAACTGTGGGGTTTCCTTCCAACGCGATGATCAGAAACAGGTCGAACATTCACCCACTCACAGACACTTAAAAACCCCACTGCCGTCGAGTAGATTCTGACTCATAGCAACCCTACAGGGCAGAGCAGAACTGGCCCATAGGGTTTCCAAGGCTGTCATCTTTACAGAAGCAGACTGCCACATCTCTCTCCCACAGATTGGCTAGTGGATTCGAACTGCTGACCTTTCAGTTAGCAGCTGAGCACTTAGCTGCTGCGCCATCAGGGCTCCTTCCACAAACACTTCCTGAGCCCCATCGTGTCCCAGGCACTGTTCTATAAAGAGTATTTCATTGAATGCAAGTGTTTGTCCTCTCTACAGGCCTTTTAAAGCCCCTAAGACCTCATATGGAGTCCTGGTGGCGCAGTGGTTAAATGCTACGGCAAGCTACGGCTGCTCACCAAAAGGTTATTTATTTTTTTAAAAAGACCTACTATCGGAACTCTGATGGCGTGACGATTAAGCGCTCGCTGCTAACTGAGAGTTGGTGATTGGAACTCACCAGTGGCTCCTGGGGGCAGACCTAGCGATGTGCTCCTGTAAGGATGAGGGAGTTCTACTCTGTCACCTGGGGTCCACAGGCGTTGCAATCGACGGGACAGCGCCTAACAACAACACATTTGCCTCTTGTTCCAAACTGAAAACTTTTTAACTCCCCAGTCCCTCCCCCTACCCACTGGTTACCATGAATCCTCTTTCATCCTGATGGATTTACCTATTCTAGACACTTCATATAGGAGCCCTGGTGGTGCAATGGTTAAGCACTCAGCTGCTAATCAAAAGGTTGGCACTGTGAACCCACCAGCTGCCCTGCAGGAGAAAGACCTGGCAATCTGCTCCCACAAAGATTACAACCTAGAAAACCCTACGGGGCACTTCTGCTCTGGGGTCACCGTGAGTCGTAATCAACTTGACGGCACCCAACAACAAGGCCTGATGTGTCTCGTCTTTTTTCTATCTACAGTGTCTAGCCTAGTTCTTCTAAGTGCGTTATAAGCACTCAAATACTTCTTGCTTAATTATATTTAAAGCAAGTCTCCTGCTTAAATGAGAGAAACCCTGAAAGGATTTGAACTCTGATACCACTCTTTATTCCAGGATGGAAGGTGAGTCTCTGAATTAGACTTTTTTGCTAAAAGAATGCTCCCCTACCACTTGCTGCCTGACAATCTCAGAAGCTTCCAGAAACCCTTCTAAGGCAGAATGAGCATGCAGTGTAACTAGGCTGGACCCTTATGCTGTGGGACCTGCTATTCATCTTCCCCACCAAAACCCAAAAACCAAACCCACTGCCATCGAGTTGCTTCCGACTCACAGCAACCCTATAGGACAGAGTAGGATTTCCAAGGAGTGGCTAGTGGATTTGAACTACCGACCTTTTGGTTGGCAGCTTAGCTCTTAACCACTGTGCCACCAGGGCCCCCAACTTCCCCAACCCCTGAATGCCTTCCATGCTACGTGCTTTCAAGCCAGCCCCCAGGCTGCTGCCTGCCCTGGGTCTGCAGGGCAGATTTCATTTCGCTCCCAAGACAGCCCAGAGGGCTTCCTCTGTGACAGCTGGAACCCACCAGCAGGCAGAAGCCAAAGGGACCAGGGATTTTTCTCCTCTGTAGAAAACAACCCTAAATCCTATAAATGATATATAAATTGCAAAAACTATAGCAAGTCTGTATATAACATGCCTCTACATACATGTATATAAAATAAGAGTAAGCCTACAAAAGTCTGGATATAAAAGTGGGCCGAGGGTCAGGACAGTGGTCGTGGATGTCTGGCTGGGCAGCTGTGCAGAGCGCAGTGACGGGCCTACATGTCATAGAGCCTGAGCTGCTCCTGCACGTCCCCGTCGGACATCTCGCCAAACGTCTCCTTGTTGTCCTCCATGAGCTTGAAGATGGCGGCCAGCTGTTCCTTCTGAACTCTGTCAAGAAGAAACGACAAAGAGGAAGATGCTCCTGACCCAAGGTGGAGAGGCTGTGAGTGGCCAGGAAGAGTCGGGCCCTCCCCTCTCATCTGTGGCTGTGGTTGCTTTTCTGATTAAGAAGAAAACTAAAATAAGTCAACAACAAAGAATAATCATGAAATAAAGCCCACTCAAAACACCAGAGCTGGTTTGCTCTAACAAACTCGTCTTCTTAGAGGGTTCTAAGTTTACCCTGGAGGTTTGGGAACCGCAAGTCTCACTTCGGTTCACTGTGCTTCCGTCTGCCCTTAAGTCTCATGTGAATGTTGACTGCACGTCACACAGTGAGCCCACAAGACAGAAGATATGTTCCCCTAAGTGGCTTGAGATCCGATGAAGCAATTATGTTGGAAACAGCCTTGTTTTTATAGAAAGTAGAAGAGAAACCACTATTGGCCAGGAAAGAGGGGAGGACACAGATGGGTACCCAAGGGTGAGGGTGGGCTGAAACCCAGCCTGTGAGGTCTCGGGGTGCGGGGATGCCCTTTTCTTAGGCGCTCAGACACCTCTGGCCAGCAGTGGCCCTGTCCACTCTAACCAGCTAACAGGCCTGGCTGAAGACCGAACTTAGTATTTCCCTCACACAGGCTGTGGCTGGGAGCAAGGTTCTGTTACCTTTCTGAGGCTCAGCACAGCTGTCTGACCAGCACAGGACAGCATGGAAGGCTGGGCGAAACTATACCACAAACCAAGGAACAGTACGGTTCCTGTTTGTCCTGCTCGGGGCCTGTGCTTGTCTGCCCGGCTGGGCATCTCATCCCTGCTCCTGCTGGCTATTCCGGTTCCCACGCCACCGCTGGGCACGGGCCACCTTCACAGAACGTGCAGCAAGCCGCGGGCCCCCGCTACTGTCACTACAGGTCACCGGAGCACAGGGCTTTGATGCAGCTTCCAGGCCGACATCCCCGAGGCTGGTCTCAAAGTCTTTTTTCCAACATATTCCTTCTGCTATAACCCTAGCTACCTCAGCCCCCCATCTTTCATCCAGAAAAAAAGCTGGTTTTCTGACGAGAGCAGCATCTTGAAGTTGACATACTCAGTTCCCAGTCTCTATGTCACTCTGGGCAAGTTGTCTCCCCAGCCAGTTCTCCTGTCTGGAGAAGGGGGACCTGAGATGTGTACACGGAACCCTGCCCCACGGGGGCTGTGAGGCAAAGATGGAACCACAACCCAGCTGTGTTCTCCCATTTTATGCTTTTGGCTGTGGTGGTTGCGTATTTTTAAGTGAGCACGTGACTTCATCCTCCACGGGAAAGTGACAGGCATCAAAATGCATGAGAGCTCAATTTTTGATGGATGCAAAAGACATTAAAAAACAAAACCAAAACAAAGCAGAACCGAAGAAACACACAGTAACCGAGATCATCTACTCAAAGTTTATTGGACTCAACCAAGTTGAATGCACAGACCCAAGCCCTGAGGAGTCGATAAGACTGGATGCCTGTGACAAGCCGGGATAATCATCCCTGGAGGGGTCACCTATGTATGGTATCAGTCAGACTCTGGCCTCGTCAGGGACAGTGCTATTGCTGTTTGGGGACCTGGGTGATCACAAGAGTGCGTCTTCTACTTGTCACGTGGCTCTGTGTCGAAGGCGTTGGCTGTGTGGCTACTTTGCCCCAAGCCCCTGAACCTAAGGTATCGGGCCCAGAGAAGGTCACTGGGATTGTCACATGCCCTAGGGGTTGACATTGGACATTTCCCAGCCTTCCGTTAAACGGAAAAAGTCTCTATAGACTTACTGCTCACCAACCAATCTAAGAGCTACAAATTAGTTTGGTATAAATATTGTCAAATATAAAATTCCAAGAAACTAATCTGGGGCTGATCTGATTATCTGGTAAAGTTCTAACTTATCTACAAAACCTTCTAGGAAAAGGCATAAGTCAAGAAACCTATTTTAAGTTAACATTATTATTATTGCTTCTGCCAGAGTTAAGGTGGAGATTCGGCTGAGTTGGTAAGAACATCAGTGGAAAGGCCTTTGGCAAACAGAGGGGGCTGGGTTCAAGCCTCCTGTACGGGAAAAATAAGGGCCATGGTCAAAGCCAACACCTGGCCCTGCTCTTTGCTGCCCAGCCATCAATATGATATACCCTCGCCCCCGATGACTGAGCCAGCTAGAGAGGAGGGAAGTGGGAGCAGGTGCGCCCCCAGGGAAAGGAGGAGGGTGACCATCCCCACTGCGTCAGCCAGCACAGGTGAGCTCTGCCTCATTTGTCTGTCAAAGGAAAGGGGCGGGGGGGCTGGAATGAAACTATAATCTGATGCTAAAACGCGGAAGTTGCTGAAATTAGTGATCTCTAAGGTGTGAAGGGAGCCCCTGGGTGGTGCAGAATGCGCTCGGCTGCTAACCAAAAGGTTGGTGGTTCAAATTCACCCAGAGGCACCTCGGAAGAAAGGCCTGGCAATCTACTTCTGGAAAATCAGCCATTGAAAACCCTACGGAGCACAGTTCTGCTGTAACACACGTGGGGTTGCCATGAGTCTGAGTTGACTCCATGGCAACTGGTTTAAGGTGTGGAGCGTGTGTGGAGAGTAGGATTAAGTGGTGAGAAAAACCTAAGTCCAGGGTCTGAGATAAAACTCTTAAAACCCTTCATCTTAGCCAAGGGGTGTACATGTCTAAACAGGGCAGAGCCAAAGGCATTTTGCTGGACCCTACTGGCCAAGGGGAAATTCCTGACTGAGGGTCTCCGTCTCAGCAGACCTACGGGGGGCCAGATGCACCCCGGAGCCTGCTGTGCTCCTCTCGCTGGGGGCTTCTGCTTTCTCTCTCAAGCTTTTAAGATGCCAAAAGGAAAAGGCTTTAGGAGGAGGCTAGGGATAACTTCATTATTCTTCAGTTCTGTAAAGAGAAACAGGAGAAAAAGATGTTGTACTCATTGCAGCTTTCAGGTACCACGGAAGGAGAGGGGGAACTGGGCGGGGGGGAGGCGGGGGAGGATGATTGGAATTGCAGAAGTTACGCCAGACATGGGTTTCTCCACGTGTGGCACTTTGCTTCTCATCTCTTGCAGCAAGATAGTCTGTTCCACAAAGCTGGCCAGAGCTCACAAGCTCCCCTCAGCCCTGCACGGATCCTCAACAGCTCACCAACACGCACTGAGTCGGCGGTTCTGATCTTTGGCTGCGTGGTTGTGCTGGAGATGTTTCTATCACCCTAGCTCAGTTCCTAGTCCTGCTGGCTGTGGTTTGCCCCTCTGTGGATACTGGCACCCTGCGACGTGTGCTTCCCAGGTGAGGCCAGCAGGGCGCCCACCTCTTATAAAGGAATAAAGGAAAGCAAAAGACTGCGTGCCCTGTGAGCAGTGAACAGCATGCAGGCATCTGGGTCTGTCCTCTGGCGCCCTCTTCTGGAGTATGGCAGTAATCATGCTGGAAACTCGCATGGCCCGTCTGCGGCGTGGATGGGAAGAACCCAGGAGAGAGTTCCCACCCTGTGGCTCCTCCGAGTCCTCTCACCCTTCCTGAGCCCCATGGGGGTTACACCACATAAATCCCCTTCCACTCAAGTCACTTCCATTTCCAGAAAAGTCAGGACCGTCCCTTCAAAACGGGCATTGGGGCTCCGGGTCCCATCAGTGCCAGCCTGGTCTACAGCATGGGTTCCATTTCCTCTGGACCAGAAGTTGGGAGGAACTGATGGTGTAGGAGAAGAGGAGTGGACGGTTGTGCGTTTTCCCTTCCGGCCAAGCTCTGCCAGCCTCACTAGCTCGGGGGTTGGGGCGGTGGGGTGGAGAGGCAGAGTCCTGCTGTGCAGGGAGGGCACTCATAAGTCTGCAAGCCACCTGTGTCTGCCACACTCTGAGCTGGGGTGACACCTCCTCGAGCGGCTGCGGTGGACACCCGGGGACCCCCCACGAGGCCGCACCAATGCTGGGGAAGCCGTGTGTGCCGGGCGGGGACTACTGGGAAGGGAGGTAGGCAGACAGGCCACAGCCAGGCCTTTCTTAAGCAGCAGCCTCTGGGTTTGCAAACCCGACCACTTTCTGCCCCTTGGGCGAAGGGATGTGATCTGTGAGCATTCCGTGGACGAGAATGCCCAGTTAAACACGTGGAAGAAGTAATGTGGGGTCTCTTGCTTTAAGTCTTGGTTCCTCGTTGCCATCGCCTGAAAACATGTGAAATGGGGCTTCTGGGAAAGCAGGAAGACATTCTAGATACTGAAGCACGGACTGAGCTGCAGGAAGAAGTAACCACTAAGATTCAAGTTCTAGACACTGATGCCGTCTGGCTGGTAATTTGGAGTCGGGGCACTTGTGGCATTTCTGTGTTAACTAGTGTGCAACTTGAGGGGGGCCCTGAAGCCAGGAGAGCAATGAGAAATAAGCCCAGAGTTTGGTCAGGAAGAATCCAGCAGGCGAAGGAGATGCAGGCTTCTCACTGGCCTGTGCTTTTGGTGGTTTGACAATAACACGCAAGTGATGTTTCATACCGACGGCTACGGGGTGGCCCCTTTAACGCCCCTCGGCGCTCCTACCCCCCTGAGAACTATCGTGCTGTCGATGAAAAGACAAAGCCACATTACCAGCCTCTGCAACTCCAAGCACCACCATGCGAAGGGCAACCGCAGTCACACAGCGCGGTGTGGCACCAAGGCGGCCCCACCCCGGGCTGCGCTGGGCTGACCGCGTGCAGCGCGGGAGGGAGCAAGCAGATGTCAAGGTCACAGGGAAAGACACACCACACATGTCAGAGAGCCGCGTGGAGCATGCTGGGCTGGCGGTAATGAAAATGGACACGAACTGCTGCCTGGCCGCAAGGACCGTGCGCAAGGGGCATGAAGCCCACCTGACCCTCCTTCTCAGCCCGGCGCACACCAGTGATAACTCAGACAAGGAACTGAGGGTGCTTTGTTCACCCAAAGAGCAGCACCTCAGGCACAACCTCGATTCAGCGGAATCACAAAGTGTAAACTGGTGATTTACAGACCCGGAGGTCCAGCTGGAGAAGGCCGTCCTTCCCAGCCCCCCCTTTTCCAAGCTCTGAACACGGGCTGACAATGGAGTCTGATCCTGGCCCCAGCCTGGTCTCCGGCCCACCTTTCAGATCTGTTCCCTCCAGATGCACAATGCACATCAGCCTGAGCAGACAGAACAAGGCCAAGGTCCATGGGGAGCCTGGAGGGAGGGTAGTGTGCCAAACTCTATCCTCTAATCCTAGGGCTGCAAACTTTTCTGGTAAGGGCCAGATACCAGCTGCCGCTGAGTTGATTCCGACTCATAGCGACCCTACAGGACAGAGTAGAACTGCCCCGTAGGGATTCCAAGGAGTGGCTGATGGATTCAAACTGCTGACCTTTTGGTTAACAGCTCTCAACCACTGTGCCACCAAGGCTCCAAGGGCCAGAGAGTAAATATTTTAGGCTCTGTGGGCCACACGGTCCCTGTCACAACTACTGAACTCTGTAGCTGTAGTGCAAACGCAGCCACAAACAACAGGAAAACGAGTGGACATCTGGATTTACAACACCAGGCAGGGGGCCAGATTCGGCGCTCAGGCTGTAGTTTGCAAGCCCGTGCCACCACTCCGGAGCACAGATGGGTCTTGGGGTTTCGGCCCTGCACTGCTTAATAAGCTGGTCATCTTCCCGGGGTAAGACTAAAGCCACATCAGCCGCCCAACAGGGCTGCAGGGCTGCAGCATCCACACTGGGGGGCCCTCCCTGAGGTCCCGGGAACGGCAGTCCTCCCCCAACATCACAAGGGGGCAGCAGCACCCCAACCAGCAGGCCCATGAGGCCCAGCAGCCACTTGAGTTAAGCCGGCCTCCAGGAACAGGGGCCTGTTGTGCAGGGGCTCAGGTGGGACACTGGGGTGTTAACTGGTGATGGAGGGGGTGGGGAAGGGGAAGTTCGGACCGCGTCATTTCTGCCGGGGACACATTAGCACAGTATGAGGCAGCTAGTCTAAGAAACCAATCTCCTTACCAAAAGGATTTGCAAGGATTTTTGTGGCTCAGGACCTAAGGAACTTGCTACAGGGAAGTGAGGTCAGAGGTCAGCTCAATCCTGCAATATAAAGGCAGCAGACAGGGTCACACCAAGAGGCAGCATCATCAGGACCCACAGTGGAGGCCGCCTTGCCTGTGCGGGTTTTCTCCCATCCCATGGAGTGGAGCCTTCCTGGGGCGGTTTGAAGGAGCTGGTAGCAGCCTCAGGAGGGGAAATGGATTTGCAGGGGCAGTTTCTGACTTTTGAGGGGTATTGGTGGTCTCGTAAGCAGACTATTGAAAGTGTCGTTGAGTTCTGCTTTCTTAAATATTAAACCTTCCTTCCAGTGCTCTGGAACCCTAGAGCGATAGCTCACAGCAAGCCCCTCCAGGTTGTCAGGGCTCAGAAAACAGCCCAGCTGCCATTCAGTCTTGCTTTACGGAGAGGCCACTCAGGCTCCAGCGTGGACGGCCCGCCTGTGCGCACAGGGGAGGAGCTGGGCTCCGGTTAAACACCCACTCTCTCCTGCCGCCTTGCTTCCAGAATGTTCCCCGACCACCCTCGCAGGATGGAGTGGAGAGAAAATACTGAGGGAAGCCCTCAGGGAGCTGGGGGTGGCGGGGAATAGCCAGATTCCAAAGCGAGGAGCTGAGCAGCCGCAGTGGCTTTCTGAGCTCCATGGAGCAGGACAGAAAAATTACGCTAAGAGCGCTGGGCGGGGGTGAGGGGGTTGA